ATGTATTTATTCATCACCTCCACAGTGTTATTATATTGCTGTCTTATTTAAAAGGCTTGTTATAACTACACCAATATGTGTAATTGCAATGCAATAACCCCCAAAGAAAAATTACTCTGTTCAAGTCTCAGATTTTTTTTCTTTGTAAAATGAACTCATCAACCTTCCTTGTTTTTTGACCTAATGTTATAGATACAGTTATGCTGTTTCCTAGGTACTTGGCACTGTTCTAACACTATTCAATCCCTAATTCATCTACTCCCCAAAACCAGCCTACAACATGGATGCTATTATTTGCTTTCTAGAGAAGAGAAGCCCGAGGCACAGAAAGGTTAAATAAACTGCCGAGGCTGACCAGGGTCAGAGCAGAATCAGGCAGCCTGCCTTCCATGTCAGTCCCTTGGCCAGCACACTATTTTCCTGCCCTTCTGCCATCTTGCTGCCCACTACTGAGAAAAGGCAATAGATTGACATGTACCGAGTTAGGTAGTGCCAGACACATCCAAGGCTCCTAGGAAGCGTTAACTGTATGAGACTTGAGTCTCTTTGGTAGGTATCAATAACTAACAGCATCCTACTTTGGTGCGGTCCTGAGTCGCTCTCCAGCCAACAGGACACCACTGTGTCCAGGATTATGGATCAGGTCCCTGGCGAGTCTCTCCACTCCCAGGGACATTTGTAGCTCTGGAATACTGAGTGAGGGGATACCACCACTTTACTAGCAAATGAGAAGTGATGCCTGAATCCTGTTTGGTGGTGTGTTCTTTGTTGGTTATGACTCAGGATTCTAATAAAATTTGGGATGGCAATACATTTTTTCCCCTGAGTACTATACTGATACTTGTAGGTGTATATCTTATGATCAAATGCAGTATTCTGAATGAATGTCAAAGTGCTCAGTCATGTCCAACTCTGTGACTCCGTGGATTATAGCCCACCAGGCTCCTCTGTCCACGAGAAGAATACTGGAGTGAGTTGCCATTTCCTCCAGGGGATCTTCCTGACCCAGGGATCGAACCCACCCCTCCTGTAGCTCTTGCATTGGCAGCTGGATTCTGTACCACTGAGACACCTGGGAAACCCCTATTCTGAGTGAGTGTTATATATTAAATTCCAAAAGCTCTTAAATTTTGCTAATATTCCATTTCATATGAACTAAAAATACTAAACAATATTATTAATTTTTATACCTCAGAGAGGCTCTTCATAGAGCTTCTCTGAAGCAAAATTAATTCTCTACTACTTCCTCCAGGTGGCTGGTGGCCCAGGAAATGATAAAGGCACATTCATCCGTTGTGTTTCATACAAAGTTGTTCATGTCTCCCTTACACTGAAGGGAATGGACACAAGCAGAGGGAAATTACGCTGAAACTGTGGCATCTTCTTTTTTCATGCCCTAAAATTTAATGACTGAGTTCTGAGCAGTGGTAAAAACTTGTTCAAGTGCAAAAGGTCTCGATTAGGATCTCAGTCCAACAAACTGACAAAAGATAGCGTGTTCACTATCATTGATTTATCCACTCATGATAACGTGAAGGGAGTGAGCACACAGTTCTGTTTGCTGAGTTTCACAAAGTATAGAGATGATTTAAATGAATACTCTTGGGCTTACTTTAATATGCCTTGGGGAAACAGTGCTAGAATTTGCTTCTCAAACTCACAAATTTCCCATTCATATTGCATTTTAAGGTAAAAAACATCAATGTAAGAAAATACTGAAAGACATGTAGTAGTGGGATCTTCCATTACAACAGAAATCTGATAATGTAAATGTTAAAAATTGTCAGATGAAACTGGATAGTGTCTCGGTTTATTTGCAACTCTGATACTGTATGAAACAAGGGTACCCCAGAAGCTGAGCTCCCTCCAGACTGGTGGCAAATGGAAATGTTCGTGTGTGTGTGTGTGTGTGTGTGTGGTATAAGAGATCATGGATGCACAGAGTCTACATGCCATGTTTAATTGCTGCTTGTTTTTCTTTGTTTGTTTGTTTGTTTGCTATTTATAAGAAATCAGCCTCTGGAACTAGGTATGTCTGAGTCCTAGTTCCCAGTTCTGCCGTTTACCATGTATAGAATGCCTAAACGTCATGTTCCGTTCTCCCACCTATTTATTGGGGATAGTAATTCAAAAAAAGTTATTTTTGGGGAATACTGTTTTGAACTGTTACTGTTAATCATCAAGAGGTATGCCTCAGCAATCTGATAGAAATGGGCCCCAAATATAATAAAGCAAAAATCGAGTGGTTTTTTAATAACATGTGGTTATAGAGAAATTTTAAGATGTAACAAATTTTCTTTTGAGCAATGAATCACTTTTCAATGGGCCAAAAATAAGCCATTGCTCAAAGGAAAATGTGTTGCTTCTTAACATTTCTCTTTAACCTTGTTATTAAAAAAAAAACAACACTCTTGGTCATTAACATTAACAGTTCAAAACAGCAATTGGAATAAAAATGAATAGAAATCACAGATCAGGCTCAGAAGCAGCAGTGGATGCTATCAACAAGGCTACTTTTTTCCTGAGGTCCAATTTCTCTAGTGATTAAGTTTCTTGAAAAAAAAATAATCTTTTTACTTTAATCTGATAGAATAATAGACCTTTTTGTAATGAACAATTAAACTGATAATTTTCCATTTATAAATGAACTTTATGATGAGGTTTTCATAAGAATTTTTTAGAAAGGCTTTCTGGTCTACAGTTTAGAACAGAAAGCCCAGTTGCCTCAGGTAGCTTGTAAATGACTTTCTTTGAATGTGTTATTATTTAGGATGAAACATTTGTAACATGGCTGTGCTTGGGACCTATACCCTCAAAATGTGATTCAAAGCAGGGTTCATCACACTATACAGGCAAAAACAAAATCAAAACCATACAATTCTGTGGCTAATTAACATTAACCCCAGATTTATACTTTAACGGAAAATGTTATGGTGAAGGTGTCGTCGTCCACGGATCAATTCTGCACGGGAACCCAAAAGCAACCTAATAGAGAAGGAATTGTTTCAGTAAACACTACGGCTTGTCTGGCAGCTAACGGACTTCCCTTTTAGAATAAGACTGTATATTTATATAGTAATTTCAGAGTACAAAACTTTTATCTATGTAATGGCTTATATTATACATTTCATATTTTGAAAATTATTTAGTATTAATTATTTTGGGGCTGGGTTTTCTGTTTTCCTCCACTAAAATAAAATGTGCTCAATAAATATTACTAAGTAAAAATTTGAAAATCTTAAAAAGCCTGAGGGAGTGATTATTTGCAATAATATTTACTAGTATGATGTTAGTTAATGCCATATATATGTGACTATCTTTAAGCCCCAAGAGGCCTTCTGTTTTTTTCTTTAAAATGGTATTTCTGTTTATTAATGTACACCAATCACTATTTTATGCTTTGTTCTATAAGGGAAAAGGATGACTCAGTAAACAGTTTAGGTTTTGTGGATCATACGGTCTCCGCAACAATTGTTTGACTCTGTAGAAAGACAATATATATACCAAATGAGTTTGGCTGTATTCCAGTAGATTTTATGTAGACTTGAACACTTGAGTTTTATATAGTTTTCACATGTAAGTTAATATTGTTATTCTTTTCATTTATTCTTAACATTTTAAAATGTGAGAACTATTTTTAGCTCCCCGGCTATAGAGAAACAGATGGTAGGAGGCAGTATTTGGCCCGTAAGCTTTGGTTTTCAGACCTCTGATCAGAGGCTTGGAACCATCATCCTTGCTTCATCGATTTTCTCTCATTCCATTTTCAGATGCTTTTCCATGCTAGGCTTGTCTTTCTTTTGTGAGGCTGAAGTGCGCCTTCAATAACTTCTACCTATGGACTGTAGATTAAGCTATCTGGAACAGTCTAGAACAAACTATCTTCCCTTTGCATAGGCCTTTGTAAGGTGAAAGAAAGCCACTCTGACTCAGAGCTTGTGTCTGTGTCTTAGACACTGTTGTGTATGTCTTAGTATCCCTTGAACTATTTCCAGGTACTTTTGTTCAAAGGCTGTTCTCTTGTCTTTGCTCCTTAATTTTCTAATTATTCTTTGTAAAATGAATACAAACTGAACAGTACTTTTAGTTATTTTTCTGTCTAATGGAGAGCTAAATAGATTTTGTTTTTAAAGATCTTTGTACTAGGCAAGAGTGAAATGTGATTGTTAGGGAGTTCATTTATTTTGTTCGTGTCTAGTTAAATATAACTTAATTCATTATAATGATATCTTATTTGTAAATGATTAGATAATCCTGGTATCACTTTTCATACCTATTAGTGGTCAATTAGCACAAATAACTGCTGTAGGGGAGGAAGACTTGTCTTTTATTCCCTTCTAGGTTCTTTGGCTGGTTTAACAATTAAATTGAAATAGACACATTAGCAGCAGGAAAACAAGTATAATTTTGTATGTATGGGCACTCACAGAAATATGAGACTCAAAGAAGTAACCAGTGTAGGCAGATTTTAAACCTTTTTAGACAAAGGGAAAAAAAAAAAAAAACTGTGAAGAAGAATTGACAAAAATTTAGGCTTGGGGTAGCAAATTAAGAAGAATAAGGATTGTTTATACAGTCTTCCTGGCCCTAACTTCCCTCTTCCTGGTGATAAGGAAGCCTGTTACAGCCTCCCTAGTACAGGGAGGGAATTTTTTCACATGAAAGACTTACTTTTTGCTTTCAGGGAGACAAAGAGGGTGTCAGAGTATCCTTATTGTGCTGGCTGTTTCTTAAGTAACTTTTTTTTCAAAATAATCAATATGCTGAAATAGCATTTTCTGGGATGGCATGTTCTATTTTCCTTCACTGCTATGCCCTATTTGGTCCAGTGGAGGAGAGAATGATTTATAATATTAAAGAAATGTGAAGATATTAATTGTACTGAATTTTCCTAGATCAAAATATGTTCATTTTTACTTACAAAGCTCTGTTGATATTAAACTTTACTTAAAACTGAATAATCTTTTTTAAAAAATGGTCTTTTCTCTTGTATTTAACAGGTTCTGGGTTGAATGATGGCCAGTGGCATGAGGTCCGTTTCTTAGCGAAGGAGAATTTTGCTGTTCTCACTATCGATGGAGATGAAGCCTCAGCAGTTCGAACTAACAGTCCTCTTCAAGTTAAAACTGGCGAAAAGTACTTTTTCGGAGGTAGGACTACCATTTTTTTATTGGCTAACTAATGCATTGCTAAAAATGGAGTTTCAATAAAGTTTGATTATGAAGTATTTGTGTTGATTCAGTGGACTCAGTAGATCTCAGGTAAAAGCAGACAAATTCTGTAATCCCACCGAACTAAAATGAGTAGTAAATTTATTATTTCTTCTTGATAATATTAACATGCTGTCAACAGTTTCTCCTAGTCCCAATATTCTAAGCATGAGATTCTGAATCCCTTCATTCTTAAAATATTTTTCTTAATAATCATGTCCTTGGCTTATATATTATTATCTATTGCTGTGTCACTAATTACTCCAGACCTTAGTAATTAGTTTAATGTTTGGCTTAAAAGAACAAACATGTAACATTATCTCACAGCTTCTCTAGATTGCAAATTCAGAAATGATTCAGCTCTTCTGAGCTTATACTCAGGCTATTGGCCTGGGCTATGTTATATGAAGCCTTAACTGGGCTGGAGGGTCTGCATCCAAGAAAGTCCACTCACGTGGTTGACCGTTTGTGCTGGCTGTTGGCTGGGAGACCTCGGTTCATCTCCATATAGCTGTGATCCTTCAAAGCCTCTGTTTTTCAAGTGGTCTCTTCTATAGATGATGGGGCAGTGTGTGTGCCTGTGTGTTTGTGGAGAGAGAGAGAGACAGAGCGATTGAGAGAAGTGAAGTGGGGTAGTGGGTAGCAAAAAGGTTGGGGAGAGGGAAAAACCAGTAAGCAGGAGAGAAAGTTTACAAGGTAGAAACTAAATATTTTGCTGTTGTTTTTAAAATCTGGCCTTCTGTCATATACAGGTGGAAAGCATATCCCATCACTTCTGTCATGCACAGTTAGAAGCAAGTCACTAAATCTAGCCCACACTTAAAGCAAGGGGATTACACAAGGAATGAGGTTAATGGGATCATCCTGAGAGGCTGCCTAACACAGGTTGCCTTACATGAAGCCACTTTATCACAGATGTCTTAATTCTTAAGTAATAAAAAGATTAGGGGAAAGGAAGATTTCTCAAATGATACATTCTACTTCTATGTATGCAATAGTGTTGAAGCACAGACCTGGTGTGTTTTCTAATTGAGAAATGCATCCTGCCAGAAAATGATTTTTTCATTAATTAAATATAGGGATCTATTTTATTAAAATACTAGGTGTGTTGTTTAGATCAATAAGTGTTTCATGAGATTATACCTTTCTTATTCTAATCACCCAATATGAGATCTAAAAGCATACATTGTATCATTAGAAATGGAGTAGGAAATGGTAACCCACTCCTGTATTCTTGCCTGGGAAATCCCATGGACAGAATAGACCCCCCACTTCTTTAATCTTCCATGGCTGTTCATTGGGAGTTAGAGCTACATGTTTTTTAAAAGTCTCCCAATAAATATTTGATGAGCAGATGAAAGCCAGACAAGATGTCTTATGAGTGAATAAACTGGACTTAGTGATGTGAAAAAAAATAACACAAGAGCTAAACTGGTTTTTTTCCCAAATCATATTTAACATGATGGGCTTTTGGCTAACAGTTTTCATTGCTGTCAGAAAATGGATCACAATAGTCAGTTGGAAAGCTATTGATAATCCTGATTCATCCAAATGACAGTGGAATATCTTTGGCCATGAATGACCTCGCCAAATGCTTAAGGCAAGTTTTGATCTATTTCCATCTAGATGGGTGGGCAAAAAGCTATAACACAAATTTATGGCATAGAGTTTATAGGATATGAGGGCTTTATAGTGCTCTATTTACTATTGCTTTACAGATTCTGGTTTTTCAGACCCGGTGGGCAGGATCATATTTCCTCCCTCTTGGGTCTTTGTTCTGCCATTGAGAAATACTTTGAGCAAATGATCGTGGCGCTTCTTTGGTTATATCTTCATTGGCTAAATCCTCAGAGCATAGGAGAATCACTAGAGGAACTTGTCACAATCCAGGTTCTTGGGCCCTACTCCTCGAACTTCAGAATGCAGGATGCTGAGAAATTGAAGAATTCTAAACTTTAGGTGATTCTGAAACGAAGGAACTGAGGAACAGAATTGTAGATGTAACAGCCAATTTGCATGAGTATCAATTAGATTCTTTTTAATATTTATTTTTAATTGATTGATGATTGCTGTTCAATATTGGTTTATTTCTACCATACAGCAACATGAATTAGCCATAGGAGTACATATGTCCCCTCCGTCTCGAATCTCCTTCCCACCTTCCACGCTTTCCCACCCCTCTAGGTTGTTACAGAGCCACAGTCTGCATTCCCTGAGCCATACAGCACATTCCACTGGCTGTCTGTTTCACATAGGACAGTGTGTGTGCGTCCATGCTACTCTCTCCTTTCATCTCTAGATTATTTTTGAAAAACAACGTCAGCCACTGACAAGGGACATAGGTAAGAAATAGCTACTCTCAGAAAGTTTTCCACCATGGAGCAGTGAAAGGAAGCCCCAGTCAGGGTCTGGTACACATGTTGTTGTTGCCATTTAGTCATTAAATCGTGTCTGATTCTTTGGAAAACCTGTGAACGTAGCCCGCCAGGCCCCTCCGTCCATGGGATTTTCGAGGCAAGAATACTAGAGAGGGTTGCCATTTCCCTCTCCGGGAGATCTTCCCAACCCAGGGATTGAACCTCTGTCTCCTGCATTGGCGGGCTGATTCTTCACCCCTGAGCCACCAGGGAAGCCCCTGGTGCCCATACAGACATTTATTTATAGAAACTCCTTCGTCAGGTCCCTGAAGTCCTCACTCTGACTTGCCTTCTCTTGAATAAACTGTTCTCTTCAGGCAGCTGTAGCAATATTTTAGAGGCAGAATTCAGCTATACCCAGACCCAGTGCCAGGCAACAGAAAGCTCCTAAGCTAATAGCTGGCACAGATTCACTGATCCAGAATCTAGGATCATCTCCACAGCTTCAGGCCACAGACCTCACTGGAGTCTTATTCCACTTTCACACAGTTTGTGGCTGTCTCTAAAAGATGTTTTGCCAAAATACATATCCGTACTATCTTTAATTTCACCACTGAGATCTCTTTCCTAACATTAACCTGTCACTTATGCTAATTCACAAACCACCATTTTTACAAACGAAAACTCAACTTGACTTTCAAAAACTGATGACAGGAATAGTTAGCAGCAATCCTGGAGCAGTCACGTCTGGAGTGGCTGCAGTGTTTCTGAGAGCATGCTCGTGACCACCTCTGGCATGTGGCTGCCTGATTAGAATGCTAGCTGCCTCTGGACTGTTACTTAAAACACGCACACACAACTTCATGCTGTCTGTGCTGAAAATTTAAAGTCGCAGATGTTGTAATGATGATGTCTTAAGGAATATTAGTCTAGTGGAAAGGAGAATTGACTTTGTTCTACATTGGAAGCTTTGAATCATACACACCTCATTTGGAGCCACAGCTTCACTTAGTTGATAGGTCATTTTAATCATTTATCTTACCTTCTTTATCTATTAAAAGGCAATAGAATCTGTTCTGTGAACATTACACAGCATCACCTGTTAAACACAAGGTCTGACCCCAGGGAATGCTAAATGCTGACTGCCTTTCCAATTCACCTGGGGTCTTTTTTAAACTCACTCAATACAGCCCTTTCCAAGGAAAATTTCAGATTTCAGATCATGCATTTATCTCAGGTCTCCTACCAACTGCTTGACTACTCAAAGCACTTCTTCCTCCTTAGTCAGTAAAAATCAAATTGCTTCCCTGCTGGGTGAAAGCCTTAAGTGATGGTGTCCTGCCCTTAAACATGTCCACAGTTTGCCTAATTTGAAGTTAAGTCCTGTCCACGCAGCTGCTTCTGCCACCAGAGGATGTCGGAACCCCCCAGCGTGGAGCTCTCTCTCCCCACGCCCGCTCCCTGCTCATCCCAGGAAAGCTCTTAGTTCTCCTCCGTAACACTCTCAATCAGATGTTTAAGCTTGGAGAATTATCTCGCCTTGTTCTTTCTTGGGAATAAACAGAAAAAGAAAGATTATTCATTTGGGATGTTTCCTCAAGGAAAGTTATTTTAACTGCTTTAGTTTTTTTCTCTCCTAGCTTAAATTCCTTTTCATAACACTTCATTAATTTTAATAATCATAAGAATTACAAACAAAATAATTCAATTTATTATTGACTGCTTACCTGATAATTGGCTTTCTGATACAGGCCAAGGCTCATGGTCCTGAGAGAGTAGAAAGATTTTTAAATTTAAAAACATTTTTTTTAGGTATTTTGATTATCCCTGTGTTTTAATTTGAAAGGAAACGAAGCCAAAGGAGCTGTGGGGCAAAGAGGAGATGTAAGAAAATTCCAGAGATAATCTATTCAGAAAGGGAGTTCTAAGGAACACATTGATGGTGGCAGCTCTCAAAAGTACCAGACCAGGTGAAAATGGCAAGAGAGAAGCGGGGAAGGATAGGACTGGGGGCTGGCTAGAGTCTGATTGGAATTGAATTAATAAAGTTTAATGAAAGGGCACGTTCCCTCCCAGTTACAAATCAAAGCTCATTAGTGTGTATATATACATACACATATATATTTTTATATATATACACATATGCATGCGTGCTAAGTCACTTAAGTCATGTCCAACTCTTTGGAACCCTGTGGACTGTAGCCCACCAGGCTCCTCTGGCCATGGGATTCTCCTGGCAAGAATACTTGATGGGTTGCCATGCTCTCCTCCAGGGGATCTTCCTGACCCAAGGATCAAACAGACAAATATCTTCTGTCTCCTGCATGCAGGCAGGTTCTTTACCACTAGTGCCACCTGGGAAGCCCGCATACATATAACATTTTATTCCTCATTGAAATAGAGCATGAATTCTAAATAGCTATTAGATTGATGTGTAGATATGTTACCCACCAGGATTCTTAGACACCTTAGTCAGTAGAAATGGATCAGAAGCCAAATAGGAAATTCAGGCAAGGTTTTATGGGAGCCCCTGCTGCATCAGCTCAGAGTTAGAAAAAACAGCAGGTTCTTTTGCTGGCTTGC